CTGACCGGAGGCCGTATTTCTACACATACAAGACGACGGGAAATTTAGCGTGTTCAAGAACGAACATCCCATCAGCACTCGTGTACAAAATCGCTGGATTGAGGATGGTTGTGTTTCGTGCTCAGCCTTGCTCGTTTGACATAAGCTCCTTTGGGCCGATATTGGTACCGGATTGCTGCCGCATAGTGGAGAAAGTGTATGTGAGTGCCTGTCGCTGTTCGTCGGAGATGGATTATGCGTACATCGAGTCATGAAATAAGATGTACGTGTCGATCAAGTTTGCTGTGGTGCCCCCCAAGAGATGACTAAAGCGGACATGTAAGGTTCAAGTGATCTCCAAGATAGTAGGTGGCAAAACCACTTCAAAGCAAAGCGGTATGCATGTGAGGGAGGTTCATCGGACGAGCGTGAAGGGTGTGAGACATAAAAAACGATTGCTTTGTGCGGGGATCCGGATATCGGTAACGGAGATCATATAGTCTACTGGAGACTGGAGAGAGTCTAGATCGCCAAACGGCGTAGCGTGTCAATGGGGTCTCTCGGACCGGGCCATCGTCAAGACAGGCCTGGTACATTATTTCATCAGTATTCAGGGGAACCGCTTCAAACTCCAAAGTGGCCGAGAATGAGGCTGATTCCTGGGCTGTGCGTAGTAGTTCGGATTCATTCGTTAGTTGTTCGTCATAAAATTACGACGTATACATGCTAGGGTTCAAAGGAGCGAGTGGTCCTGAAGGTCAAAACAAGCTGTTTCACCGATGGTATTCAGACCAGACATAGGTAGCTGGAGTCCCATTGGCGGGAGACACAAAGGGGGAACGGTCGTCCCGCCAAGAAATGGGGGCCTCGAAGACAACGGCCTGAGGAGTAAGGTCGGTTGCCTATTGCTCCCTATACGGCACAGAGTCGACTTCGATTGGACCTCCTGCATGTCGAGGGTCGGGTGCTCGACCATCTCGGTGTTCAAAGTTTACATTTTTTTATGCTAGGCTGAGGTTCGTACCGCCGTCCTGGACTGGTAAAGACTCAGTAGCCCGTGGCAGTGCTGTGTCGCCGTCGTATTCGGCAGCTGAGTCGTCGTCCTGTTCGAGGGTGGTGTCCACAATAGCGCGGAGTGCTCGAAAATCGACCTCGAGAGCTGGAGACAGTTTTGTGGTGGTTTGGGACACCACTGGTTGCTCCGTCATAGGTAGTCTGATGATTTGATCAGGCACTGCCTGATGTCGTGTCGGGTATCACTTCTGCGCGGCGTTCGTCAGTTCCGCTACTGTGAGCGAATCGTCGTCTGAGCCGCCCAGGTGTGAGTCGGCTTTCTTCTGAGCGCGTGTCGTAGCAGAATAGCACAAAACTAATCGGTTTTTGTGGCCAACATGCCATAGAATGGTCAGGGCGCCACTACGGTTTGAACTCACAGACGATTTAGCTGGCTGTTGGTGCGGTCGAGCGTCGTCGTAGCAAGTGTCGCCAGGACCTGGGGTGCCGGTCATTCCAAAACAGCTGGACACGCCACACGTTTATCCGCCGGGAGCATGAGTGGGTCCATTTGGTCACAGCACCACCACGACATGTAATCGCCGAAGACTTTTATGGGTCCTGTAACATGGGATAGACCTCAGGATTTAGCAACTCTTCATTGTATCGTCCTCGATGTATTTGCCGCGGTTCTTTAAGATATCTAAGAGGGGGTTGTGTTCCGTATACATGATCACAGGGAGGTCCGATTGTTGTAAAAAGTTCAAGGTCTTTTTGGCCGCGAATTTACACCCCGTCATTTTCATATCGCTATAGTTGCGTTGCGCCGAGGTTAGTGTACTGACCGTGAGAGCAACTAAAAAGAGGTTTGAGTGTCCTGCGATATGGATGCCAACAACGATGATCTCCTTTCTGTTCATCACAAGAAAAAATAAGTTCGTATCTAGCCCTGGGTACCGTCTTTGTAACGGACGACGATGACATAACTGTTCCTTTGGGTGAGATGGAGTGCCATGAAACGTTAAGCGAGGTTCCTAAGCCTTCTTCGTGGCATCCGCTGGCTGTATTGCTTTGGCAGAAAATTGCATGGACAGCGCCTCCGGACACGCCCATTATCAGGTCTGATTGGTCGAAGATGCGCGATTTTGTGGCTTCAAATGCCAACTGCGGGAGCGGCACGTTCTTAATCTCTCCACTTGGACAAAAAGCTTTATGTACACGGCCGTTACACAGGCGTCCGGGTACATGACCAGTCTTTGGTGCGGAGCGGTTGGTAAAACTTGTATTTAATCCTCATCGATAGATAGCAGAAAGCATTATCCTAAGCCTGATGTTACTCGGTTCTCCAAGCAAAACCCGCGCTCTTCTTTGTAAGTCGGGCGAGTGGCTCCATTGTGTGCCCATGGTAGAGCACCATGCCGGACCACCAAGACATCGTAACCAGGAGACAGACAAGTTCCTCCCAGTTCTTGGGTACCGGGGCGGTGAGAAAGTCCTTTAACCTACCGCGGTCGATCATGGATTCATGACCTAAGATGACCCGGCCAAAAGGTGAGCCACCTCCTGTGGTAGATGAGCTAACATCTGGCTCTTGGTCGGTTGCAGCTGGATGTTCCTCTCAATCACAATGTAAAGTGTCTAGCGGATTTGATATATGTGCGTTCCATGAGCTGCCTGGCGGTTATAGTCAGGTCATCCTGGTACGCAAACAGAGCTTTAACCTGCTAGAACGTATGCAGCATGTAATGCTTTATATCAAATCAGCCGTTTTGCATACAATCCAGCAAACACATCGGCTGGTGGAAGCGATCATCTGGGGTGTAAAACGTAAGGATATGTCGACACTCCGGTGCTATCATTACCTGGTGATAAGAGGCGGCTAAATCGATGCATGTGAGAATAATCACGCATTGCACATGGTGGGGCACGTTGTCTTTCGTAGGCAGAGATACCTGTAAGTTATGTCTGTGAGAGTTGTGCAAAGAATAGTCGATCGTCAAGCGGGAATGATTGTACTCTTTGTCGGCACCGTTGTCGTGGTGTTTTTTGAACACGAAACAAGCGACCAAGAGGCATATTTGGTTTAATTCCTACGCATGGTCTACCGGGTACATGGCGTCCATTTTCCGCGTTATAATGTCATTCTTAAAGGAATTAATTGTGACATAGTCACATCCGACAGATAAGGTCCCCGTTAGCGGAATGACCTTAACCCTGGCATCCGGAATAAACAGTGGGCAAGTTGCACTTATGCAAACCTGGTACCCAGCTAATTGGTTATACGGCCCAGATACTCTAGGCCAGTGAAATGATGGTTCCCTAGTGGGACGTCCTGATCCGCAATGTATGGGCTCCTACACGTAATATCAAAATTATAGAAAACCTCCGGGGGTCAGTAAACGAGGGAATCAACCAGATGTAACTTTGATATTTGCAAGCGAGAGGTAGATGTGAAGTTGAATCGTCCCAGCTAGTGCTCAAACGCTCATGGCACACTGTGTTTCGGATATCCATGGGGCTATCATTTGTGTTAAGACATTGCACAAAGACGTCTCATGATACATTACTCGGCCTTCGATGTTCAACACATTTAGTAGTAATGTGTACGGCTTGTAATCGTGCCGCTGTCGCCATACCCTCTTTGGTACAATGGTTATATTTCTGTTATCTTAAACTGGTTTGCGCCCGTAAATTCTTGGCTATGCATTGCGGGACGAGCACCGAATTATTATACACACTTAACATTTACTGGAAGGTCCTCATATAGGGCCTGTGAGTAACGAGACAGGTCCACTCGTTCTATTCTAATCCATCCAAAGTCGTCGCTGCTACTGTTGTAGAGACATAGCTGAGTATATTGTTCGGTTAAAAGGACACCAGTATCTAAAGTGATCTGTCTGGTGGTAGATATTGCATTCTGGGCATCGATCCTCTCAAGAGCAAAGGCTACAACACTAACACTTTGGCCGGCCTAGAGGGCGGATCGGAACTACGAGGATGAGAGGATGTACAAGGAGCCCCTAGCGGCAGAAATAGAACGTTATGTAATAGCCGGGCCTCCACATTAGACTCTTTAAACTGTACGCTTAAGCAGTACGTAAACTATAACCGTACTCTTAATAGTACGAAGAACTTAAGTTTCCTATATGGTTTTTAACAGTTTTATTAATTAATACCTTTTCCATTTTACATATAAGATATTTGGGCAAGGCCATTGAAAGACCCCAGTAAAATACCAAACATAAGATTTGGTCTAGTTCTATTAACAGAACTATATTTACTTTCCAAATCTATTCATATCTGAATACTTCGGTAGCGAGATGGCTCAACCGAATATAGGTTTCTAGGGACTATTAGCGTTACCTAGTTTAACCTCCGATCAGTCAACCAGATGTGCCAGTCTGATGAAGGCTAAGTCGGTAATTCTTGATAAGTGGAAAGTTATTGGTTAAGATAGTGACAAAAGACATCAAGAGTATCTCCTTTTTCTTTCTACTAATTTTTTTCTAAAGATAGAATTTTATTAGTCTCTCGGATTCGCCCCAACGAAACATACCATAGTTTCTCAAAGAGCGACACCGAAACACGAAATAAAATCCCTTCGGCGAAAACAGTACTGAGAGGATTATATATAGGCAATGTCTCAGCCTCACAATCCCTCAGAGTATTGCTGTTTTCACGAGGCATACCTAACTTTACTAAAAGTCTAAAAGTCTCATTTCGTTTATTTACTTTGAAATTTGCACGATACTTAGAATTTACCTACGCGTTTATTTATTCTAAGCGTTAATATCGCCTTGATAGACCGAATCTTACAGTTAATGATAGAGCTACCCGTATTCGGGGTACATAGATGAGTCACCACGATTAGTGGTTGTGGTATATGGGTTATGGCCCCCGATATTAGTGGCATAGAAGTCGAGGTTAATCTTTTTGTACTCGCTCAATATTCACCTGCTAAGGCTGTTGTAGAGGCTAGGCTATTAGTTTCAAAGTAATTCGACACAGATATATTTTCCCAAACCCGTATACGCATTACTAATAAATATACGTACCGCCAGGATTAAAATTTACGTCAGACTCTTCGTGCCAGACATTGATCAAGGGCTGCTGTATTGCAGGGTCTTTTAAGACGTTTATGTAGTAGCATCATTATTTTTATATGCGCACCCTGATTGTTTGCTGCATGTCCGCGCAGATAGGTAACAACGGATTCATATGTGCAGCCAGTAGCATCGGCACGATCTGAAGGTGGGCTGCAATTTAAAGCCATGCAACCTCACGGCCTCGCCATCTTCTTCAATATCCATTGCATTTATTTCCGGGAGTGTGATGCACAAGAGCGCTCATATTTGTCACACTCAAGTTGTTCCTCTCGGAGGTTGAAGGACATGGTTCTTTTGTCGCTTATCTGACATCGCAATGCGCAGCCTGGTCATCCATTGAGATGTGTGTCAAAGAGCCGTGGCAATTATTCATCGGCTTCCATTAGTCCCTCCATCGGCTCCATCTGAAATTCTCATGGATATCGTGGGTAGCCAAGATGGCCAGCGCTCACTTCTTGTCAACTCTGGTGAAAGAGCCTCCCACTGGGCTGTTGTCGGCCGGAGCATAAGAACACCGTCCAATCCATCGGACAGGTATCTTGACATCTGTAAATTCATGGTACGTGTGGAGTGGTAGCGTGTCACGCAGGTCACCCCTCCATGCGTAGTTGCGGGACGATTAGGTCGGTTCCAGCGGCGCAGATAGCAGAAGTACTGCCCGGCAACGTCATTCTTGAACTTGACTGCCGGCTTAGAGGCCTGACTCGAGTGAGCGTTCTTAGCTTTCCGGGAATGAACAGAGTCCGTGCGTAGGCAAGAAAATCAGGAAAGAAAGGCCGAGTCAAAAGATACACCGAAGGCTCATAATTGGCCACACAAAAAGCGGATGATCTCCACAATTGCCACATCCGCATTGGTATTCATGTGGATCTCAAGGACCGAGCGCTTCTCCAAATGAGTCAGCAGTAAATTGACTTGGGCAGAGAACCCCAAAGTCGTATTTGGTGCCGGGTAATCTCTATCGTGATTCTTTGACCCGATCTTTTGATAAGCAGGCGAGTGGGTAAAACGTTGCCAACAGTTGATTCACGGCAACAATATGTGCAACTTATGGCCTTCATAGACCCACGGTGAGCCCCACATATCGTCTCTACTTGCCGCGGTTTACATCTTGTGCGTTGAGTTAGTTCAAATCGACTTCATAAATGCGGAATCGATCAATGATACAGGAATTCTATTCAACTAACGGTTTATTAAGTTACTTTATGCAGACGATACTTCAAGGAAAAAGTACTGTACCGCTAGTACTAAAATTATACTCGTTCAACTAAGAAGTTTCCATACGTTATCAGATGGTTCACTCACGCGGACCATTGCCGGACTTCTGAGCCGGAGGTAAGGGCATGCACCTGCACTCGGCCGGAGGGCTGGTTCTGTCCATCCTAGTATTATAATTATGTATTCATTAA